GCTAGAATGAGCCACAAGTTTATGGTCAGTTTAAATTATGTTACCGATACGTGAAGGGATATCGTACAACTAACAGAACTTCTTTCTTATTTCTGATATCAATTTTAATTAGAATAAATAAATTATGCAAATAAAGTGGGCAAGAGTTCATGGCTCATCCTAAGAACAGCAATTTCATTCATCGTCTGTATGTATCGTGCTAATTATGAAAAATTAAATATTTCATAGTTTTCCTTTTTCATATTTTATAGCGTTGTAATTTTCTTTGTCATTTCCACTCGTAAAACACAATGATGAAGCTCGACGAGAAAATTCTGGCACACCCAGAACATTTCGATTAGAATATATTTCACTTAAAACCGTTCGTGAATTTGTAAGTATCGCGAGCATAATAAAAAAATCAAATTCAAAACTGGTACACGTTGTCGCAATTATAACATCGTTAATCAAAGTTACACGTCGCAACGTTGATTTTGTACATGCAAACTAAGTGTTGTCGCGATATTCATAAATCTAGCGAAGAAAAAAACGAAAAGAAAAAAGAGAACGGAATATAGTTGACCGCTTACAAAACGGTTAATTTGTTATTCAAGAATCTCCTTCGATTTCCATAGCGGTGCAAATAATCCGATATATTCGTTCAATTATGTGGCATATTAATTCAACGGCAGACACCATCAATCTTTTTCCTCCGCGATACGTCTAATGGCGCGCTTGTAATCAATCGAACAAATTACACGAGACTTCTTGCAATCCGCCTAACACGTGCTCAACGTCAAGACCTTTTAAAAGTGGTTTCAACCGGTTACGTCCCGAAGACTCCGAGAGAGAATAACACGATGCTCTAGTTTCCGATGTCCGCGCCTCGCGATCCTGGATCTTTAATTACACCGAGTTTACGCGGACCATTTGCCTGTTACGCGGAAAGTTTACTGCCACTTTGTAATTGCTCGTCGCCTCGATGACCAAACCCTTCTTCTCTTGGACGCGTATGCCTCTTATAGTTTTTGGTTTACTGGTCACGAAATTTCACGTTAACTCGACGTGATTGTCGTCGATTTAAATTTTTATTAAGCGAGAGATTATTGCGCGCGAATTCGGTAGGATTCAGTTGAACGAGACACGGCACATATATCCATCGAGATTGTTCATTGATTTTACCTTCTATTCAACATGATTTTTTTTGTTCCATTGATACAAGTAGTTTGTCTAGTGAGGGGATTTTTTTTTTTTTGGTGTAACGAAGATTGCATTTGTTGAAATTGCGTGTTACAAAGTGATAGAGTTTCTCCATAATCAGGTCTTTGGAGATTTAATCTTGAACACAGTTTAAAAAAAAAAAGAAAAAAAAACACTTCTTAAAGTTGCTAATGAAAGACGTTACGCGATAGGTTCACTGTTCTATATATCTCCAACCACCAAAAATGGGGTAATAAAAAGACAAAACGTAAACAGCACTAAGATCTTTAATTCGTGAAGGTTCCATTACATCGATGGTAACAGGAGCACCAGCGATCATGAACGACTGCCTCCTCAGTTCGTATCGAAAATCCTAAGTCGACTTCGGCGAATAAGAAAGACGTTCGTCTTCTCTTCTCGCCATCATCTCTCTCAAAATAACGTGATAAAATGAAGAACCTAATTGTACCACTCGCACGAAACAGAAAAAAACAGAAAGATATTAACAACTTTAAACAATAAACGGATAATCTCAACCACAGTCAGCACACCAAATATACAATTAAAACTCCATAAATCAAATTCTTAACAAGTATGAACTCGACAAAAGAGAGCAGATAAACTTTTCCAACAAAAAAAATTCACCAATATATATATATATGTATAGCAATGTATAAAATTTAAAAAAAAAAAAAAAAATATAATAATTAGACCAAAAAAAGGATAAAACAGAATGAAAAGAAGAAGAAAAAAAATGTGTTCAACTTACGATGTCCGGTTTGCCAAGACTTGGAGAAGTTGCCCGAATTGGGGAACAACCGAGAGGCAATGGGAGAGCGCAAACCTTATATAGGGGAGGCCACGAGGCACCAATATCCCCCACCACAGGCCTCCGTGGAATCCGCACAGAGAGGCATACATGTCTACAACTTCAGAGTGGTAACGAAATGGCTGGAACGTACGGAACCGCGAAAACCGGGGGATATTCTTCGTCGAATAATCCTTCCAGCGTTCTCTTCCGGCATTTCTCAGTTGTACACGCGGTTCTTTCGCTGCGTATGCCCTTGACATGAGAACGTGAGACCACATGGGGCCGCAGAAATTCGCGGCGACGTATTACGTAACGTCGTGCAAGTGAATCGCGCGAACAATGCGGCGTCGATAATCAGGAGTCGGTCGTTGGACGCCGACGAGAAAACATTTTATTCGTAGCACACGTTCCTGCAAATCGACTAATACAATCCTTTAACATGTAAATTCTGAAAGGCAATCACGTAGTTCACGTGCTGTGAAACGGTTGAGAAAATTTTGGGAATTGCAAAACGTTTGGATACGACATGTGCGTCGAGCGGTTAAGTTCGAACGATGATCAATCGGGACTTGTCGATTTATTTAAACCAGTTCATTGTAAGATTTGAGAGAGACGGGGATTCCTGACTGACCGATTTAGTGAAATTCGTGTTGGTATTGAGAATTAGGGGATTAGAGGTCTGGCTTATAAGGAAACTGGGTGAATTTTAAAACGAGCTGTTTCGATTGTAAGAAATTTCAAAGAAGACCAGTTAACCAGATTGTCTTAATTAATTGAGAATGCTAATCACGAGCAACGTTTCGGATTCTTCCGAGTCATCTGCGCGTTACTCGGTGCCGTGCAATCATAAATCTATTAGACAAACAGCTGGACTGATTTATTATACCCCCCTGAACTTGCTTTCCTCTCGACAATTTTGCTTGTAACTGTTTTAGGCCATCTTACATCAAACGTGTTTAAAAAAAGAAAAAAGAAGAAGCATTGTCGGTCCTCTGAATAAATCTTGACGATCGAGGAACGTGATATGTATATCGGGTAATACACAATCGAATGAGTCACATAATAACGTTCCAAAAACAGTTAAGTCGAGTTAATAGATAAGCAAACTATAATTATGTTAGTATACCCAAAGATACGTCTGTGATGACGATCATCAAAGAGTATCGCGATACTTTGTCTCGGTTTTGGCTTTGTACCTTAAATAACGTTACTCAATCGTGCCATTGACGAAAAGATAAAATACCTTCCAGAGAAGACCATTATACATGACCATTTCTTCGATATCGTCTTTTACTTCGAGTTTCTTTATCACAAATTTTCTTTAGAAATTTTCTTTAGCCGTTGGTAAATAAAATACCCAAGCGTTTCAATTTTCTTTTTATTCGAGAATGTATTCATTTTTTAAACTTAAACCAAAAACAACCAAATTTTGGTCTTTAAATCGAGAAGAACCGAAGAATAATAAAAATGATATAGAATATTTCAAAAATATTACAGTCGACTTAAATATCTTGCTTTAATTCTCAAATTTAGGAATTTTACCGATTTGAAAAGGTATTCTCAACGATAAAGGGTATTTGAATATACACTACCGGTCAAAAGTTTAGAATCACTGAGCATTGCAATTGACACAAAAATTTTCCAGAAGAAAGTCAGCGACTTTGAGAATTTTTTATCATTCGAATCAATCGATATGAGATAAATTGATAAACGTAGAATTGAGATAAACTTCAAATCTATAAAAAATTAGCAGCAGATTTAATATTGATGAAAAGTGGGAGGTGAATCCAAACTTTCGGCCGGTAGTGTATGTAGTCATTTTTGCGAATGTGGCAGACGATTGGGCATCTTTGAAAGAGGAAGACAACAGAACATCGACGATGTCTCGTAAAATCAATCTGCTGTGAAAACAGAGTCAAAATTGAACGAAAATGTATCGCTAATTGCGCAGCAAGAGCATCAATCATGTGGGTTTACCAACTTTAAAGAGATACGTGTCAACCCGTGTTGGAGGAAACGTGATAATGAAGAGAGTGTTTGCTGTAAATCTTACGGCGGCTTAACGAGCGCCAAAGTGGAACCAGCTTTTTGAAGCTCGTGCATACGATTCGTTGTGCAATCGTACGCTGCTAACCTAGGAACACCCATGAAAAAGGAAAAAGGGGAAAGAAAGAAGTAAGAATAAATTCGATGTTTACGATGCCCCTTACGTTTTATTCTGGCTATCGTATACAAGGACTCTTCACTTCTTTTATGCTCGTTCTTTTTTTTTTCACGTGTGATTAAACAGCCTAACTGCGTACAATCAGAAGACCATGATTCAAACTTTCGAAAAACTTTTATAAATAAGTTGTATTATGATTTCCTTTCTCTTTCTTTTCCACGTTCAATTGTTGCGACGAAAATGAGCTTTGTCAAACATTAAGCAATATTGTATGTTTACTTAATTGCATATTTCTTTTATATACAGGATTGCCACGTGAAACAGGCCACCTAATTATCTCGTATACATAGCCACGGTGGTACGAGAAACTTTTCGTACGTAATTTAAATGGTTTCAAAGGGAGAATAAGATGGAAGAAAAATGTTTCTATAAATGCCATTTCTTTCTGTTTTTTTCTCAAGGTCATCTATATTTTTTTTCTCTTCTACTAAATGTTAAAATCACCTTGGGCTCTACAATTTTCTTTGGATTTGAAATGTGAAATTTCCTTTCATTTTTTGCCATTTTCTCCATCTTGTTCACCCTTTGAAACTATTTAAATTACGTGTAAAAATTTTCTTGTACCACCGTAACTACTATATTATTAAGTAAGTAATATTGCACATTTAATGGTTTAGAAGTTCATATGTTAGATAGTGTAATTACCATTATAGTTATTTGTAACGCTACGAATAGGACGAAGATTGTATCTTTGGATTTTTAATACAGAAGCAGGATCTTAGTCTGTTGAATTATTTAAATCTTCGAATATGTATAAAATGTGTGGAATTTTTATTTAGCAAAAATGAAAAGTTAATATACGTTTAAGTATATTAAACTTCTAACTCTACAGAGAAATTTCCAGAACGGTGGTTTCCCTTTCAAAACACTACAGTTTGGTGAAAATGAGTCTGACAATGAGTTTCTCAGGATTTCGTTAGGAAAACGAGCAAGAAACGAGGAAAGGTCTTATGAATAACATAAACGTACTTACACAATACATATTTGCCGTATTCGTCCACCGATGGTATTTTTAAACCAAGCTTCAAAGATAGTGTGCTCAATCAATTATGCGGCATGCACTTTCCAAGTGCGTCTAAGTGCCAACTATTAATATGGTACAGCATTTTCAAACGTACGATTAAACATGAGTTACAATAGCAAGCCGAGAATCAGAGAATTAGAGAGTGTCAGAGAAATTTGGATGACAGAAAATTTCTTTTCTTTGGAACTTACGTATATTAAGCTGTATTAAAAAGTTACATCGAAGAAATATTGAATTTTCCCTAAAGCTAAAGACTAACTTAAACTTCTAACAATCAAAATTAATCTTCTATCGACACTTGTAACACATTTACAATATAACAAAATTATAATTATAACTACAAAATACTTGTCTAGCGATTGGTAATAAAGTAACAAAACCAAATTCCCCATTTCGTTCCAAAAAGAATTAGGGATTGTGATACAAGAAATAACGAAGATTCGTACAAGCACGTAAAGCTCGAAGCTCTGTATTCGTAACTTGGTCATCAGAGTGCCTTGATATTCGGTCGGCCAATCTTTCTCAACTTATACCTCCACGAACGAGGCTGTTTGAATTTCCGAAGAATCGGCATCCTTCGGTCTTCAGCATCCTCGCGTTATCATCGTGAACCTATGCAGACGAATTATAGTTGCGACGTGCGTTCATCGAGATACGAGGCGCGGACACCACGCAGAGGAACACGGCTGCATTGTCTTGCAACACTCGGCATTAATATACGCAATGATATACGGTTATCATGTAATCGATTGTCTCGCCGCGCAATGATTGTCTTCTATTCGCCTCTGTTTCGCACATCGCGATAGCGTTTTCCAATTCTCCCCGCGACGAAACGGACTTCCTAGAGACACGTGAACACCTCTTCTATCCAGCATGGAAACGTGTTACCGTTTAGTTGAATTCTTTAATTTGGTCAAATTGAAAAAGGTAAAACTCGTACGACTGTTTCGATAGATCGTTTCTAACCCTTTCAGTGTTACGGGTATGTATAGTATCCACCGAATCGCATGAATGCGAAATATGAGCGCGTATACGTATGTACGTACATAATGTTCGGAAATTTCTAACGAAATTTACAGGGTGGGCCACGTTAAACGGGTACCTAATTACGTATCCCCTCTAGTTACGGTGAATACGAGACAATTTCTGTACGTAATTTTCATGGTTTCAAGGGGTGAAGAAGATGGTAGACAAATTTTTTTTGACGAAAGAAAGTTTCGCATTGATTTAAAATTTTAGAATCCAAGATCGTTTTACGGTCGTATTATTATGCATGTTTAAATTCACATCAATCTACTACAACATACATACAGTAGAAAAATATATATACACTCGTGCAGAAGAAAAGAATAGGCGACCTTAAAAAAAGAAAAAAACAGAAAGAAATGGCATTTATAAAAAAATTGATCTTCCATCTTGTTCATCCTTTGGAACTATTTAAATTACGTATAAAAATCGTCTGGTACTATCGTAGCTAGAGAAAATAACTAGGTGGCCCACCCTGTATATTACGAAATTGTCACGAGCATAAACTACGAACGCGTGTAAAAGGTAAACAGGGACATTTTCTTCATTTAACGCAATTTTATGTAATATAGAATTAGAATAGAAGATTGGTTAGAAGTGGTATATTTAATTGATATCTCATACATTATGCAATATGGGAATAACGCTCGGTACAATCGTCATTCCAGGTCGTATATCGTCTATAATAAGCATTTAGCTGTAAAGTGTTCCGCACTCAAAGCATTAAATGTATGTATGGAAA